TCAACCAAAGCATCCCTGAAAGATGGCTGCCAGACCTCTGCTTGAAAACCTCCAATGAAGGAGAGCCTACCACCCTCCAACAGCTGCTACCAGCAGGAAGTTATCCTACTGTTAGTCGGAATTTCCTTCTTGTCATTTGAATCCATTGGTTTGGGTTGTCCCCTCTGGAGCAGCAGAAAACAAGCTTGCTCCATCTTCCATGTGAAATAGTTGAAGATGGCCATCATATCTCCTCTCAGTCTCTTCTTCTTCAGGCTGGACATACCAAACTCCTTCAACAATTCCTCATAGGGCTTTTGTTTTCAGGGCCACCCTCCAAAAAGGAAAACACCCTCTGGCAGGTCTGGGAGAGAAACTCAGGGTGGCTGAGTGGGGAGCTGCACCTGGGTCTTCCTCTGTCTAGTCCAACCCTGCACCACCCCTTACTACATCAGTTCTTTGACAGGACTAAAATAAAGTTACCCTTTGAATTTATTTCAAAACTAAGTCCTATGGAGCTCAGTAAGGTTTACTTTCAAGTCAATGTGCACATGATTGCAAATATAAGAGGGAAAGCCCCCCCCCTTTTTAAAAAAGCATAGTCCATGACTTTCTTTTGGAAGACATGGTGGTTGCTCCCCCATCTCCTATCAGAATGTAGATGGCTTTGTTCTGACTGTTAAGGCACAACATGTCATTGAACAGGAAGTGCAGCTTTAGTTCCCTGACTACTGTGAATTAAAGTATCATCAGATTGTGGCATTGCGACTTATTTACTTTTAATTATCTGTTCAATTGGAAGAGGCATAGTTTAAAGTAGTAATCTTTACCTTCCAACTAGCAGCAGTTTGAAAAAATAAAAAAACCAGGTATATTGCGGGGTCCTCCCTGCAAAAACTTACACACACTCCTAACACAGTTAATGAGACTGCAGTTTGACACACCTGTATGTTGAATTGCAAGCAAACAATTGGCTTTCCTTTTCCAAAAACCACTGGAAGTTCCACTCTTCTCCAAAGTATTTTATGCCAAAAGCTCTAGACTTCTCTAAACAATTTCTTTCCTTTGGGGTGTAAATAATGAATCTGATTATAACTTGCTGTTTTTTCATTTTTCATTTATCATCATCAAACCTATTTGCCATAGTAGCTCCACAACTTTGGAACTCCATGATTTTGGAACGATGCCCTGACTGATCCCAATTTTATGGGTCTTTAGGAAAGGGTTAAAAACCAACCTGTTTCTTTTCACTTGCTTTACCTTGACTGGTTATTGTTCCGCCTTACTACCAGGTGTGCCAACTTGAATACCTGGAGGAGTAAGTCCAGGTAAGTCCTGCCCCGCATAATCAATCACAAGGTGCAGTGTATGCACACCATTTGAATGACAATTTCCATCAACGGGGAGGGGGGCAGCCCCCTGAAATATTTTAGGGGGGAGCGAAGGGACCTTGGCCCTTAGGAGTTTGCTTCTATGCTCACTGCTGAGTTACAGCAATGTTAGGCACAAAGGAAGCTGCTTAGACTGAGCTGGTCCCTTTAACTCAGTAAGGCCTTCTCTTCCTATGCACTTCTACTCAGAAACTCAGTTCCATTGAGTTAAATTGGTTAGATTGCTGCAGCAAAACCTATATAAAAAGTCCTGGAGGCTAGTATGTAATGCTTACTTCACTACAAATTTGTGTTTAAGGGACTGTAGGATGGATCTTTGTTTGTTTGAAGATATTTGGTTTATACATAATGGGAAGAGATAAAGAATCATTTGAGCTTTGTTGCTGTCATATAGCATGAAGGAAGACTGATAATAATGGGAAATATTTTTCTGATATTCTCTTTTGCAACCTTCCTCCTTCCCCTTTCAGATAAGCCTGTGAGAAACAATTCCCTTTCTATATAAAATTCCAGTTTGCTCAAGTATTTTACCCTTCTCTCTCTCTCTCTCTCTCTCTCTCTCTCTCTCTCTCTCTCTCCCCCCCCCCCCAGAAAGGAAAGTTCACTGCATTTTTGTTCACCACCTTTTATAGCCAAGGTCTACACAGTACTGATGCTCAGTAAACTAATTCCATCCTATATTCACTTTTCTGCCATATGGTGTCACTGTTGCATATCAACACAAGGCCCAGCTATTTTCTGCTCCCAGGAATGTACATGCTGTCAAAAGCCAGTTCCGAAAGGGAGGGTGAAATCCTCATTAAGGCTGCAAAACTCAACTCCAGGGTTTTTGTTCCAGCAGAGACAAGTTTGAAGAGTAACAGTGAAAGTTCTCATTTGCCTCAGTTTTTATTATTGGGTTGAAGCTGGATCCTTTGGAGATTTATCAGTGCAAAAGATGGGGCATATACATTTAACTAAATACAATCAAAATGTTCAAATTAAGGCGGAATTCCAAGTCAATTCCCAGGCTGACATCTGCCAAGTTAATGGGAGCTGTGGAAATTTGTTGCGAGAATTGGGAGCTATGGGTGGGGCGGGGTGCTTCATCCATTTCTCCCTTACTCAGTCTCTCCTGAAAATATACCCTTGCTGGGTTTGGTCTTCTATGTCTGCTTGGGGGAAAGAATTTACAAACAGTGTGTTCCAGAAATGGTGTGCAAGGAAGAATGATGCATACTCCATCCTGCCTGCTGATTCTCTCCTGCAAATGCCCCATTCTCCCATAGCTGCATCGTAAGGCAGACAACTGGCTGGGTCTCCATGTCTTAGTATTACTTCATTTATCATTACATTTGTATCCCACCTTTCTTCTAAGGAATTCAAGATGGCATACATGGTCTTCTCCACCCCCCCTTTTTTTGGTAAATGCTTTTTATTAACATTATTACAGCACATACACGCATGACACTTGGAAACAAACTACAAAAGAAAACACAAAATAAATGAAAAACATATACCCATATATCTGCAAGTACTGTATCTGCATGCGGACTTCTGTTAGCCAATCATTAATTCTTATTCTATTCTAGTAGACTTCATTCCTCCTCAATGCAGGTCTGATTTTAAACTTGAAACTTGTTTCTTTCTCATTTCGTCTTTTCTACCCTTCTCCATATGTTGTATTTGTAAACCATATTTTGTTTTGCAAAAATTATTCGAAGCAAGTCCAGGTTTTAATTTGAGGGCACTGTTTGTTTGTTTTTTTAAAAATAATCTCTTTACTTTCCCCACTCTTTTTGAAATTTTTGTTTAGACTGTCCCCTAATTTTGTTTAGACTGTCCATCAATTTTGCCAACTCAAGGTAATCAAATAATATCTCTTGCCACTCTTTTTTTGTTGGTACTGTTTCACTTTTCCAGTTTTTTTTTGCAGTTAGTATTCTTGCTGCAGATGTTGTGTAAAGGAATATTCTTTTATTTTCATTTGCGATGTCTATGCCCAATGCTTCTGTTTTGTTTTGTTTTGTTTGTGTTTTTTTACAAAAGTTTGTTTAAATATTTTTTAAACTCCTCATATACTCCTCATATACTGTGTCCCAGAAGCTCTTAATTTTGTTGCAGGTCCACCACATATGAAGTAGCGTCCCCTCTGATTGATTACACCTCCAGCACATTTTAGATTTTGTTTTATACATTTTGGATATTTTGGTAGGTGTTATATGCCACCTATAAACATCTTGAGAAAATTTTCCTTTATTGAGTCACAAGCCATGAATCTCATTTCATAATTTTTCCCATGCCGATAATTGAATATTTTTGCCTAGGTCCACTGCCCACGTAATCATGGGCATCTTTAACCTCCCATTCTAAAAGAATTCCATACACTCTAGAAATTACTTTTTTCTTGTTTTGTATTAATTCTTTGTCTAGTGTTGACCCTTCTCTTGCAAAACCTTTTTTATTATCTATTCTAAACACCTCATTCAACTGATGGTATTGAATCCATCCTGTCAGGTGACATTTTATTTCCTCATATTTTTTCAGTTTCAGTTTATTACATTCTTCCTCTTAAGAGATCCTTATATGTGGCCCATAGCATTTCCATGCTCTTCCTTTTGACTGCCGTAGCCTCCAAAGGGGAAAACCACCAAGGGGTTTTGGGTTCTAGTAATTCTTTGTATTTCTCCCATACTCTATATAAAGGCTTTCTTATGATATGATTGAGGAATCCTCTGTGGACTTTCACCTTTTCATATCCTAAGCATTCATGCCACCTGTAGCGATTGTGAAACCCTTCTAAGTCCAGTAAATCTACATTCTGTAATGTCATCCACTCCTTTACCCAGTTTAGACCGGCCAAATCATAGTATAAATTCAGGTCTGGAAGTGCCATTCCACCTCTATTTTTACTATCTAGTAATAATTTATATTTAATTCTAGGTTTTTGTACTGCCAAATGAATCTTGAAATGTCTTTTTGCCATAATTTGAAGCATCCCGTCCCTCCAATCACTGGTATCATTTGGAATAGGAACATCATTTTGGGAAGCACGTTCATTTTTACTGCAGATATTCTACTACAGAATGATAGTTTCAGCCTACTCCAAATTTCCAAGTCCTTTTTAATTTCTTTCCAAGTTTTTAAATAATTATCATTAAATAAATTACTATTTTTATTCGTTAACCAAATTCCCAAATATTTGGCCTTATTTACTACCGTTAATCCTGAAGTTGTTTGTAATTCTTTTTCTTGTGTAGACATATTTTTTGCTAACATACTAGTTTTATTTTTGTTTAATTTAAATCCTGCCACTTTTCCAAATTCAAGAATTCTTTCTAATATTTTTTGAACACTTTCTTCCGGGTGTTCAGTAGTTATTATCAAATCGTCCACAAAGGCCTTTATTTTATGTGATTTCCTTCCTACTATTATTCCTTTTATTTCTGGCTCTTTCCTTATTGTGATCGTTAGAGATTCTAGCACCATAATAAACAGTAGAGGTGACAGAGGGCAGCCTTGCTTGATCCCCTTACTTATCCTGAATTCTTCTGTTATTTTGTTATTTAAAATCACCTCCTCCTCCTCCTGCTGCTCCTCCTGCGGTACCCCCGACGCCCCCTCCACTGGGCACGTAGGGACCCCCTCCGCTCACCCCCACAAGTAGCCCGGCGGTGGCTCGTAGTCGCCCAGCGCATACGCGGCACCCGGCTGCCTCTGCCCCGACGTGCCCGCAGCCGCCGTGGCTGCTGCTGCTTGGGGATACATGCTGAAAGCCTCGCTGCAGTAGACGGCCATGGCGGGAGCATCCTGGGCGCTGCTGCTGCTCCGAGACCAAGGCGCCAAGGGGCTGCCGGGCGCCGTCGGGGGCGAGCGAGGAGCGCAGGGCTGGCGAGGCAGCTCGCGGGCGCTCATGGCCCAGGCGGCAGGGAGGCACGGCGAAGGCGGACCAGTCCCCGCCCAGAGCCGTCTGGGCCAGCCTGGAGGGGGCTGCCTCTCTGCCACCGTCGACGAGCCTTATAGCCCCCGTGCGCTTTGCCCAGCCTCCCGGCCCACGGCCCGGGGCTGGCTGATCCCAGAAGGAGGGGCTGTGGCACGGCTGCAGCCCGCCGATGGCTTTTTGTCACAATAGTCCAGCAGTTTATCCTCCACTTTTTGGTAAAATTCCACCTTCTTATCATTTGGTGCGTAGATTCCAACAGTAATTATTTTTTCTTTTTGATATGCCACTTTTATCACCATCATTCTCCCTTCTTCATCCTTAAACAAAGGCTCCGGGTTTAATCTTGAATTTGCGTATATAACTACCCCTTTCTTTAACAACATCCAAAGAAATAAATTCATCACCTAGGTTTTTTTTTTTATTAAACAACACTCTTTTATGTTTTCTAATTATGTGGGTCTCCTGTAAGCATATTATATCACATTTATTTTTTAAAGTAGATGTTCTACCTTATTTCTTTTGGTCTTATTAATTAGTCCATTAACATTCCATGAAATGATTTTAAAGTTCATAAGTTATCAGTTGTTAATTCCTTTATTTCCTTCAATTAATGTACACTGTTCAATTTATGAGTTACTTCCTTCCTTGCCACCTTCTTCTAACATCTAGTTTCTCCCTCTTCTTCCCCCCTTGTCACTTTCCGAGTCCTCTCTAGGTTCCCCTTTCCCCCACACTTTCCCCTCTCCTAATGTCTTACAATACTTCCTCCAAAATTTCTCTACCTCGCTTTCTGTTGTAAATCTTTTTTTACTTTACTTAAAGGTAAAGGAAACCCAGTGTGGTGTAGTGGTTAAGAGCAGTAGTCTTGTAATCTGGTGAACCCAGTTCGCTTCCCCGCTTCTCCACATGCAGCTGCTGGGTGACCTTGGGCCAGTCACACTTCTTTGAAGTCTCTCAGCCCCACTCACCTCACAGAGTGTTTGTTGTGGGGGAGGAAGGCAAAGGAGAATGTTAGCCACTTTGAGACTCCTTAGGGTAGTGATAAAGCAGGATATCAAATCCAAACTCCTCTTCCTCCCCCTCTTCTTCTGGGAATTCCCATCTGAAGAGGATGTCATTCGCTTTCAAGCGTCAGCTAAGTATTTATATTTTACCCTCTTCTTCAGCAATCTTGCAGGAATTTCTCTTACTATTATAGTGTACTTTTCATCAATTCTCAGCCCCCTTTTCCTGTTAGTTTGTAGGATTTTATCTTTTAGAATTCTTGAATTCAAGAACACAAGACAATCTCCTGGCCATTTATTGGACCTCACAAACCATGATTTGACCCTGAATGCTTTGTCAATACAAATAGAGAAATATTCTACCTGGATTTCTAGCCATTTTGCCAGGTACTTTATTATCAGTTCCTCAATATTCTCTTCTTGTTGCTCTCTTATTCCTCAAAATCTCAGCGTCAATTCTCTCTGTTGCATCTCCTGTGCCACAACTGCATTGTTTCTTGCATATTTTTTAATTCCACAAGATCTTCCTTCATTTTCTCTTGGCTTTTCTTCATCTCTTTGCACTCATTCTCGTTCTTTTTCAATACTTTGTCCTGCTTATTGGATTTAATTTTTAATCCTTGCATATCTGTGTCTAATTCCTTACTTTTGTCAGATAATTTTTCAATATGTACAGAGAGGTCCAGAATTATTTTTGAGTTCTGCTCCATCTTATTTCCCATTAAATCTAATTTTACATCTAACGCTTTCATATTTTCATTCATCTCTTTTTTTCATACCCAGTATCAGTTCTTTAATATCTAAATTGGGCTTGATCTCTATTGTGGAAGGTCTTCTTGCTTGTGTTCCAGGTGTTGCGGAGGTTACACCTGTTGCCAAGGTTACACCTGTTACTTGGTTTTGATTTGTTGTCATGTTGCTATTTATATATTATCTATATGTTCCCCTTGTGAATTGGTTCTTTAATACCTTATTCTTTTCACAGTAGTTTTATAATTAAGAGTAAGAAAGTGAAAAGATTTCTTTGAGTTCTCATCCTATGTCTAATCTAGTTTTCTATGTTCTTTATGGTTTCTCCCTATTTTTCTCCTCCTCTTGCTCTATTCCCTCTATTTTTTAACTTTTCTTATATTTCACCTTCTCTTTATCTAAGCCCCCTTCCCTCTTCCTCCCTCCTTCCCCATTTCCCCCTCCTCTAGCCTCCCTTTAACTGAGTATCCCCGTGTAAAATTGTACCCCTTTCTTTTCACAAACCAATAACATTCAAGCTGTACAATATTATACCACACCAAGAAAGGGGAGAAAGGAGAAAGGGAGCAATCACACTTCACTTTTAGCTGTAATTTCTTTCTTCCCCACCAGATGGCTCTGTCTAGGCAATTCTTCTTTTAGCACAGTTCTCTTCTGTTCAAAGTTCCTTTCCCACTCCTTACTTGCTTGTTTGGTTTGCTCCTCCCTTTCCTTCTACATGGGCAGATTTGCAGAAGCGGCATGAGTCAGCATTTCCTCTCCACCATGTTGCAACCTCTTGCTTTAGACTTTGCCTTGCCTCCACTGCTGTCAGTTCCCCCTCCTCCAAATGTCCACTACCGGTTTTCCCGTTCTCAGGCGGTGCCGCTCTGTCATGTGGGGCTGGCTATCAGAGCTCTTCACCAGTCCTCTCTGCGACAATGTAGCATTTCCTTTCCCTTTCCCTCCTCCTCTCTCTCTCTCCCCACCGATACTCTGCGGCCACAACAAAGAATCAGCATGTCCATCGCTTCTTCCCACCCGTCCTTAAATTCTTTTTGCAATATTTAGAGTGCAGTGTCTTTTAAAACCGCATTTGAGGGTGGGCTCCTTCCTCCCCCTTTTAAATTTAGACTCCTTTTCCGTAATGAATTGTCTGCCAATCTTGTACATACCTTCTTAGGTCTTTCTTCTTTGTTTGCCAGTCAGCAGTCTTCTTATTTTAGTCTCGAATTATGGAGAGATCTGTAGCTGAATCGCTCAGGCTTTCGAGGCATCTCATAGAAAGGGAAGGCTGGGGTTCTCCCTCTCTCTCTGTCACTTTACTAAGTGCAGGAGCCATCGAGAAACCCCTTTTTGCTCCGCTTGGCTCAGTCAAAGCTCAGAACCCTTTTCTGAGCCTTTTCAGGGGTATTGCGTTGCCTTCGCTCCCCCTTTCACCCTTTTCTATGATTGAGTCATCCCGACAAGCTCACTGGATGAACTCATGACCTGAACAAGATTGTGACCGATCCAGAAGTCCTTCTCCACCCAATTTTATCCTTGAAACAAACCTAGGTTAGGCTGTATTAATTTTTTTAATCTTGTATTTTTCTGTTGTGAACCGCATGAGATCTATGGAAGGAGAGCGGTAGTCAAATTAAATAAATAAATAAATAAATAATGGGCTGAGAGACAGTGACTGGTTCAGGTCACCCAGTGAACTTCACAGCCAAATGGGGATTTGAACTCGCATCTCCCAGGCCCAGGTCCAACACTTTAGCCACTACAACACACTGTAGAGTTAGTAATGGTTGAAATCCTTTTACCTTTTTTCAGGCTCAGCTAGTAAGTGTCCTGCACAGATACAAAAAAGCCTGGTTTGCACATCTCACCAAACCAAAGCAGAGACATCACCTTGCCAACAAAGGTCCGTATAATTAAAGGTATGATTTTCCCAGTACTGATGTATGGAAGAGAGAGCTGGACTATAAAGAAGGCTGCTTTTGAATTATGGTGCTGGAGGGGACTCTTGAGAGTCCCATGGACTGCAAGAAGATCAAACCTATCCATTTTTAAGGAAATCAGCCCAGAGTGTTCACTGGAAGGACAGATCCTGAAGCTGAGGCTCCAATACTTTGGCCACCTCATGAAAAGAGAAGACTCCCTGGAAAAGACCCTGATGTTGGGAAACACTGAGGGCACAAGGAGAAGAGGACAACAGAGGACGAGATGGTTGGACAGTGTTCTCGACGCTACTAACATGAGTTTGACCAAACTGCAGAAGGCAGTGGAAGACCGGAGTGCCTAGTGTGCTCTGGTCCATGGGGTCACGAAGAGTTGGACACGGCTAGACAACTAAACAACAAGAAAAAACAGAAGCTGTAGCTTCTTCTTGTTTTTACAGTTTATGGTTTGTTCAGAGGAGGCAAAGTACATCTCAGGTTCGGATTATGGTTTTATGCAGAGAAAGGCCCTTCACTTGTGTACCTCACTGCCAGGTGATACTTGGTCCTGTGGCTCACTTGTAGCTCTTGTTGCTCAGTCTCTCTGGTGGGGAGAGTGGTGGTGAAATGGTGATTAAGAGATGGGAAAAGAAAGCATCAGACATGATTTCTGTCACACTCAAAATTGCTGGTTCCCATGCTACACTGCCCCAACAAATCAAAATATTTATCAGAGCCCCTCATTGTGACTACTATCCAAGCAAAGCTGAAGTAGCTGCTGCCAGTTTCCTACAGCTGAGTCTGCAAGCCAGCCATCAAATTCACAGCACAGGCAGTCTGCACAGCCTGCCATAGACGAGGATCAAAGAGAGTGACTTGTCAGGGAGCAGGCAGCTGTTGTTCGAGAATTAGCACAGCAATTCCTTGGTGGCTGATGTGGCAAAATGATCCTACTTCCTCATAACTTATTTAAAAAGCAAATAACCGAGGAGATCAACAACAGCTTGTTGGGAGGGCAGGAAGCTGGAGAGGTGGGTATCGCAGGAGCATTGCAGAGACACACTTTTTACAACTCAGCTTTGCCTTTCCTTGCCTGAAAATTTCTGCACATGTAGAAGATGAAACAAGGGAGCTTTCAGGAGATTTGGTGCCAAAATTGTGAATGTCCCTCCGTCTAGAACAGGGTGGTCCACTCAGGTGAATGGGGATCTGCCCTACCAACCTCATTCTGCCCCCAGTCAGCACCCACCCATCTGCCTTCACACTAACAACTAGCCCAGGAAGTAGCACTGCCTATCAGTTCCTCCTCCTTAT